CAAACTAGGAAGTCAGAGTTAAGCTTATTGTTTATTTGTTATCACTTACAAACCACAGCTATGCTTATTAACTTTTTCACAGTAACAATATGGCAGTTACATACCTTTACTTACACAAGCCATACCCCTGCAGCAACACACTTAAAAACCTATGGACGCCTCCTGTGCCGGTGTACAGGCATGGCATTGGTAAGGAACAAAGAAAAATGATTCTTCTCTCTTTATAAAGGAAAAGAAGGCAGACCTGCCACAGGCGGCAAGGAGAGAACACGACTCTACCCAGTGCCGTTAAGGCTGAGTTGGAGACACATCATTTGGGGCAGGATCTAGGTCGTCCCCTGTGTATCTAGGCTGAGAGAGTAGCCCTCCATAGGGAATGGGCTCCCAATGTCCATTCTTGCACTATGGTTAAACTCTGGCTCCACTTCCAGAGGCCCCCTAGACTCCCCAAGCCCCCGAACTGGCACCCACCTTCAATGGGCCTCGCTCAGGTCAGCTGTTTCTGTGGGTTTCCCCAGCATGGTCTTGAAACCTTTGCTCATCACTCCTCTCTCTCTACAACTGGATTCCAGGAGTTCGGCTCAGTGCTTGGCCACACCCTCCCTGGAGGGTGGATTGGAGGGTTGGGATGGTGGTGGGCATGGGCGGAATGGAGGGAGAGGGAACTTGGATTGGTATGTAAAAACAAGATTGCTTTTTAATTTAAATAAAATTTTATTTAAAAATAAAGCAAGTCTGAGTGGTAGAAGGAGAACCACACGCCTGCCCATGACAGCCTGCCCCAGGTGGTGAGGAGAAAAAGTGTTAAGGAGAAGGCTGACGAAGAGTGAACTGCTTGCAGGTGTCGTGGAGATATCTGGGCCTGAGCTGCTGCCAAGGTCCATGTCTGGGTCTGTGGCCCTGCTGCTGCCACAGTCTGTGTTGATGTGTCTGGCTTGTGTTACCTCCAAAGGCCAAGAGGAAAGGGAGGCACGGAGTCGTCCCGCTCCTCATTGCATAGAATACTAGGGAGAGCCGGCCTCGCCCCTCACCAGCTGCAGTGCTCAGGAGAAGGGGCCCTACACCTCCCTGGGCCAGCACAATAGAGCTGAGCTGGCCCTGGAGGCGTGAGAGTGGGAGAGCTGCCCCCTTCATCTGCCTTGTGGTGGCGTGGATGAGGGAAAGATGCCCCACCCTCCCACCTCGCCACCTGTGGCAAGCAGGAGAGCTGACCCAGCCCCTCACCAGCTGCGGCAAATTGGGGCAGCCAGTGGAGCTGACCCTGTCAATAGGGGCGTGGGGGTAAGCTAGCCGTGAGCTTGTGAGTATGGGAAATCTGGCTGTGCCCCTCATCGGTCATAAAGTGGCATGGGCAAGGGAGAGATGCCCTCCCCTGCCACTCACTGCTTGTAGCAGGAGGGAGAGCTGGTCCCGAGGTCATGAGAGCAAGAGAGCTGTCCCTGTCCTTCACCAGCTGCAACACTGAGGAGAGTGGCCCCTGCATCTAGCTTGGGCACACAGTAAAGCTGGCCCTGGTGGCATAGAAAATAGGCGAGCCAGCCCTGTCCCTTGTTCCTTGCTGCATTGGGTGAACTAGCTGGGGGCAGTGCTGGAGAGCTCACCCTGGTGGTGAGGACAGGGTAGAGCTGGTCGCCCGACCAGTGCTGTAACCACCCAGGCTCAGACCCAGCATCCACCCCATCTACGTGGTCTGATGAAGCACACGAAGGGAGCTCTGAAGCCGCAGGGTCTTCATCACACAGAGCAACAACAGGATGTCCAAGTGGTGTCCCAGGGAAGGCCCAGTATTGGCAGTGTAGCCGAAACCAGATGCCTGGAACCAGACCAAATGAGTCTTTGCGATGAACACTCGCAAGTTAAGATATGTGGACTACAGGGCATACTGAACAATGACTCACTGCATCACACTGCAGCTTCTGCAATGTGATTTTTTTTCCTTTTTCTTTTCTCTTAAATTTTATTTCATTTTGTGGGGGGGACTGCAAGGGCAGAAAGCAAATATGAATGGGATCAAGATGCATCATGAGAAAGCTGCAGAGATAAATAAGCAGTTAGAAAACAAGAGTAGGTCACTTTTGGGTCTATCTTCCTCAGATTTTAGAAAAGTCACTATTGTTTTTACCCAAATAAGCAAATACTCACGACTTTAGTGTGCTTTGGTCCCAGAGAAATAGAATGGTGGGCCTACTGGGGAAAATGGCGGGAGTCAAAATGATAGTAACAAAAATTAGATTGTCACCACTTTATTCAAATTCATTTTGAGGGTAAAATGAACAGAGTCGAAACAACAGGCTCTTGAAGTGGTAAGAGGCCTAAATGGAGTCTGACGGTGACTTGATTTCAACTTGGCTTGACTGAAAAGTGCCGTGGAGAGTTTAACAGCTCACCTGGGGTCTGCCAGTGAGGCAGCTTCCAGAGGACATTAACTGAGAGGAGAGAAAGGGGGAAGAGAAGTTCGGGAGTCCAGTCATGCACTCTTAGGCTTCCTGTCTGCTGTGAGGTGAGCAGTCTCGGGCTCACAGCCATCTGTATCATCAGAGTCCCAGAAGGGCTTAGGACTGAGGCCTCCAGCTAAGCTGTTTACGTCAGATATTTTGTCATAGCTGTGACAGCATAAGACATGAAAGAAGGTGGACTTGTCCCCGGGGAGTTTGCCAGTTGACAGCACCAATTATCCATCAGCTCTGCTCACATTAAAAACATGTTCTGTGAGGGATGTAGCTCAGTGGTACTGAGCTTGCCTCGCACACACTAGGCTCTGAGTTCATTCCTCGTTGCCACCGTGTGTGTGTGTGTGTGTGTGTGTGTGTGTGTGTGTGTGTGTATGTGTGTGTGTGTGTATGTGTGTGTGTGTGTGTGTGTGAGTGTGTGGCTTTCTATATGATCTATGAATGGCAGTATAGCAATCATTCTGCGTTGCCGTGATTTGAGCATATATTTCGTTCTCAAGACACAGAGTGACTAGCTTTTTATTTCTGCCCAGAACGGATCCACAAGACTGGCTACTTAATTTGATTGGCCCAGAACAAAATCAAGATGTGGGCTCCTTGTTCAAAGAGCAAGAGTTTCTAAATCATGACAGAAAGCACCCACCCAGAGGGAGTGAGTCACTTTGAGCACCCTGAGTTGGGACTTCCGGTAACAAATGAATATTTAGGTTGGAAAGGCTTCAAAAGGGGTTTGTAATGATGGCCAAGTTGCCTGTAGCCAAGATGTATGTGACATATGCAGAAGGCCAGTGTAGAATAAAGTGAGATTTCCTAAGCAAAAATCAATCAATCAATCAATCACCCAATCAATAAATGAGAGAAGTCTGCTGCCTTTCTCACATACAACTTCCTGTTTCTTCTCTGTACTCCAACCCTTGAGCATAGATAACAAATAAAAAGACCCGCATGTTTTTGTCTAGTTTTTTAAAGGCTTAGAAATGTCTCTAAGTTCATCTTTACTCCTATATCCCTAGAAAGGTGATATTCCAGTATCCCTGCTACTTAAAGACCTAGTCGAGGTTTAACGGTTTGACCTTCATAGATGTGGATAGATGGGTAAATAGAAAGATGGATGGTGGGTAGATGGATAGATGAGTAGATGGATAGATGCATAGATGAATAGATGGGTTAGGTGGGTGCACAGACATATACTTATACAGACAGATCAATAGATATAAACAGATGGTAGATGAATATATAGATAGTTGATAAACAGATGATGATGAAGATTGATGGATAGATACAGATACATGTAGATATATATGTAGATGATAGAGATAGATAGCTAGATAAATGAATGACAGATGAGAGATAGATGATAAATGAACAGATAGAAGATAAATAAACGAACAGACAGATAAGTAGACAGACTAAACAAATGATTTGCATCCTCAATGCCACAAGAAAGATAAAAATGTTGCATACAACTGCCAAAAGAATATATAAATACCCCTATTATGTTAGTAGTGAGCCAGAAAACAGAGAACCCAACTGAAAATAGGCAGAGAACTTGAACACCACCAGTGTCGATTGATTACATGGAAATGAGCTCAAACATCTACCAGGAATATATAAGCTCAAGACAAAAAAAATTCTACCAGTGTGTTTAGAATTAAAAACTGTCATCCCAAACTGTGGGAAGTATGTGGAAGAATCCCTTCACAGAACCAACTGTAACTTGCATATTGGTTAATTTTCTTTATTCCTGATAATGCTAAAAACACATCTATGCTCTGACACAGTGACCTACTTCTAGATATAACTCAAAAGAAGTGAAGACACGTGTCCAGGAAGGCAAGTATTTTAGAGACCTGCCCAATATAGGCAGTACTAACATAGTTCACATTTGTTTGTACAATGAATACATTATTTGTCATTTTAAAAGTAATGAAGATTAGTATGTTCAGCAACCTGGCTCAAGGTCCTAATATCTTAGGTGAAAGAAGTCAGATATTAATGGATACATACTTTACTGCACCATTATGAGAAACCAAAGGACAGTGAAAACCAGTTAATGACTGATGTAAACAGGGAGGGATGGAAGGGTCAGGGATAGTAGTGTCTTTTACTTATGTAACCACCAGCTGGGGTGGGAGGGTGAGAGCCTGACTTAGCATTTGCTAGTTTTCATGCTGTGACTCACAGTCAGTGTTCTTTCTAACAAGTGTGAGTGAATGGGAAGTTAGGAATAGGTGTGCATGTCACTCTGGGGCCATGGGAGTCAGCCTACCTATGGTAGAGTTAGAATATGAGAAGGAAGCCTTTGGTGATAGAAACATGCCTCTGTTTCTTCTAATATGTGGCCATAAGTGTATGTAAAATCACTAGAGCTCATCAGGGCAAGGTGACTCCCAGCACCAGGGAGGCTGAGGCAAAAGAATCACTGTGAGTTCAAGGCAAGGTTAGACTATGGAGTAAAACCAAGTCTGGAAAAAACAAAAAGATTAAAAATTTGACATTGTGTATGCTTATTGTAAGTCATTTATAATTCAGTTCTTTGATATTGTAGGTAGCATCTGCTGAACACAAAAAAAAGGCCTGGGCCACTGACTGTTCTCATTGTGACAGTCCTGCTTCCCAGCATCCTGGCTTGACAAACGACCCAACACAGTGGGACTTGACGCAGTGGCATAATTTATTTTGCTCAGGGGAAAGTATTTATTATCATTATCAAATAAAATATCAGTTACTTGAACCAGAACTGGGTAGGAATATCTCATGTCTGCTTCACTGAGTATTAGCTGGGGTGGCTCAAAGGTGGGCACAGGGTTCTCTCTAACTCACTGGAGCATCAGACAAGGGTATGCTGGTGCTGTGGGGGGCAGAGCTTACATACGATGACTCCACATTGCCCGGGCATCTTGGAACATAATACCTGCATTCATTAGAGTGACTGCAAGAGGAAGGCAGGTAGAAGCTGTGTCTCCCTTTTCCAGAACAGCCAAGGAGTCACACATTCCTTTGTCCCCTGCAGTCTGTGGCACTTTCTTCACCTTTGCTTGTCTTCTTCACCTAAGCATGTACTTAAAAAAGAAAAACCAGAGCTTTATTGAGATACCACAAATTTGCCCCCTTAAATGAACATTTAAATGTTGTTAATATGTTCAAGCTGTTGGGCAATGTTTCCACAATCCATTGTTAACACATTTCCCAAAATTCTTTGCACTGACTATCCATTTTCTTCCTTGAGGTCTCCCAGGCTTCAAGTACTTCTTTGTGTCTCTGGAGTTTCATCTTATGGATGTTTTATAAAAATGAAATTATACAACATGTCCTCTGTGGGTGCATGTGTGTGAGATGCCCTTCACTGGGCTTAATTTTTAATAGTTTATCTAGATTATAACACATATCGACACTTCATCTTTTATTTTTAATGCCAAAGTTATTTCCTTGCATTGTGTTATGGGCTGAATACTAAATGCCTTCTATTAGGTTCATGTGCTGAAGGCTTGTGTAGTCAGACTTTTTCTGTCCTACCAGCCAGCTCCCAAATAACCACAGGGAGACTTCTTATTAATTACAAAAGCTTGGTCATAGCTTAGGCTTCTTACTAACTAGCTATTACAACTTAAATTAGCGCATATCCTTTAATCTACATTCTTTTATGTGTCACAGTTACCTTTACTCTGTATTCCTCATGCTGCTTTCTCTCCAACCGGCTGGTGTCTCCCTGCCTGCATCTCTGCCCTTCTTCCCAGAGTCCTCTGTGTCTGAAAATCCTGCCTAGGTATTGGCCATTCAGTTTTTTATTAAACCAGTCAGAATGACACATCTTCACGGTGTACGAAAAGAATATTCCAGAACAGACTTGTCTCCAGCTAGTAGTTCTAGTTATGGAGTGTGGGAACAATAGACCTTGGCTGGAAACCCACTCCTCCATCAGCCTGGGAGCAGGCAGCTGTGAGACAATGTTTACTGAAAACAATCCAGTGCCCTAAGAAATGTTTACCGGAGCCATAAGTTCCTGATAAGGGCTTGCTCACTGAAACACCCTGACTTTGATCTTCCCAATGGCTAGCCACTTCTTCCTGCCCCCTGCTGTCACCGATTCTGGTGTCAGGGACATATAACCACCAGCCAGGAGGAGGAAGAGAGATGGGTGGGAGATGTGTGCGTATATTATGGCAGAAGCTTTTCTGAAGGGAAGCATTTCTTGAGGAGTTCTCCTGAGCCTTTTTGGGAAGCATAAAGATTTTTTAACACAACCGACTGGTCTCTGTGTCATCAATCCCGACACCCTCGTCACATTCTCGGATACAGCTGTGCAGCAGGCATGGCAATGGGGGTGCTGTGGAACCTGTAGAAGAAGGAAGGAAGAGACTGAGGCATGCCTATAAAGAGTGTAGCTATTTCTCAGTCCATTCCTGTCTCTTCTTGTTTACCATGAGAAGGGCTGATCTACCCCATAATATGCTCTAGATCACATTGTCTACCCTGATGATCAGCCTCCACGCAGGAGCTTACCTATGATGCCAGCTCACCAGCAACCTGAACCCTGAGCCAAAAATAAATTCTTCCTCAAGCTGTTTCTTTTCACCATTTATCACAGAAATGAGAAGTCTGATGGAGACATCGGATCTTTAAATTGCATTTTATTATATCACTTACCAGTCAATGAACATCTGGATAATTTTAACTTTTGGTCATTATCAATAATGCCATTATAACTATTTGTGTTGAAAAATTAAAGACATTTCATTTTACATTCCAACCACAGTTCTCCCTCCCACCCCTCCTCCCACCCTCTCTCACCTCCCCTATAGCCCACACCCAGTTCATTCCTCCTCATGGGTAAGGGTTCCCATGAGGGGTCAACATAGTCTGGCACAATAGGTTGGGGCAAGGCCTGGACCCTCTCCCTTTCATTAAGACTTAGCATGGCATCTCACCCTAAGGAATGGGCTCCAACTAGCTAGCTCATGAGCCAGTTTTGTATCATGGTCCTAAGCCAGGGGCCCCTCTGATAGTTCAAGCTTCACAACTGTCTCTCACATATGGGGGACAGTCCCCTGGAGTCTCCACAGTTGTAGGTCTAGAGTTCATGAGTTTTCAGGAGCTTGGTTCATTTGCCTCTGTAGATTTCTCCATTATGATCTTGACCTCCGTTGCTCATATGTTCCCCCCTCCCTCTCTTCTCCTGGATTCCCAGAGCTTGGACTGGTTCTTGGTTGTGGATCTCTGCGTCTCTGGGGGTATTCCTCATTCTGATAACAGGGGTAGACCACTCCAGGCATCTAGGGAGTTACCCTAGCACCAGGTTTCTCCCTAAGCCCATAATGGCTCTCTCTATTAAGTTGTCTTTTCCATTGCTCATCTACTGCATCCCTCTCACTGCCTAGGCCATCTGTGTTGAAAATTTTAAAGCAGAAATGTTTTTTATTAATGTGTTGTATCAGTAACTTTTGTTGCTATAATAACTAATGGAAGGAAGAATGTATTTGAGATCAAGGTTCCAGAAAGAGTACAAAATGGAAGGGGATGCATGGCAGCAGGCAGCCTGGGCAGGAAGTTGAGCAATCGCATCTTCAACTGCATGTGAAGTGTGTATGCTCATACACACACACACACACACACACACACACACACACACACACACTCACACACTCACACAAGGGGGTGAATAAGAAATGGGACAAGGCTGTATAAACTCTCAAAGTCTGCCCTCAGTTATGTATTTCTTCTAGCAAGGCCCTGCCTCCTGAAGGTTCCATAAGTTTATGGAGGGACTTTCTCACTCACATCTCTGCATACACCCTAGAGTGGAAGATGTGCATGGATTTGTGTGCATGCGTATATGGGTACCAGAGGTCAACATCAGGTGTCTTTTATCACTCTCCATCTTGTTTTTAGAAATAGTGTCCCTCACTGAACCTGGAGTTCATTGATCCACCTAGGCTGGCTATAGGATATATTCTTGGCTCTGAGTACCCACCCTATGCTTGACTATTAGGTGGATGCTAGGGGTCTAAGTCTGGTCCTTATGTTTGCATGGCTAAATTTACCCACTGAGTCACCCAGCCATAGAGGCCATTTCCTGCTTCCTATACCTTGGACAGTTATGACTTTCCTTTTGCATTTTACTATAAACAGTTGGAATTGAAAAAACACTGGCCTTTAACACTGTGGAAATCTCCTGAGTTCCACCATTCAGTTGATTAGATAAATTTCCTATTTCCTGTGCCAAGGAAGATGGCAGCTCTACTGAATTTCCTGTCACTTCATCTCAAGGTCCCCTTTTCTAAACCCCCAATACCATTTCCCTCACTGCTAAAGCCCTAACAGTCAGTCTCTTCAGGGCTATAAAGACCCAACCTCGGTTTTTTATAGGTTCACCCACGTGTTGTCTATTCTGATTCTATATAAGGTACTTTGTAAACTACCACCAAAGATAGCTTCACCCATGTAGATTTTTGTAATGAAAGCTTTGGACTTTAGATACCCAAATTCTTTCTACTTACTATGGCTACATAACAAGTCACTCTGAATCCTTGTTGCTTAGAAAGTTACTATCTTTGCACTGCTCATGAGTCTGCTAATTACACAAAGCTCAACAGGGACAACTCATCCTCACATCATAGCAGCCTTGGGTCTCCTGTGTTTGGACTGATGTTGACCCTCAGGTGAAGGCTTCACAGGCTTCTCAACCAGAACATACCAAACACCTTTTCACATGGCCTAGTCATACCACAATTCTTGGCAACTAGGCTCCAAGAATTACATCATGAGAAGGGATGAGCTAGACTTAGGGAGATTATGTGGGCTGTTCTAGAATGCCTTCAGAAGTCACCAGTGTCAGCCCTACCATATTTTCTATGTTGACATGGTCACAAATCTGCCCACTCTAAGAGAAAGGGAATCTTATTGACTCCCTGATGGAGGCTGGAAGTCTCTGGATGACCAGAGTGCATGGATATGTAGTATTATATGTTCATTATAACTTGCCATAGGAATCAGGAGGATGCCCTTATATAAATGGTGCATTGATGGTACCCTTCAAGCACAGGGAGCATAGCCTTTGGTAAGCAACATAAATGTATGTTCATGATATCTATTTCACATAACGTATAGACCACATGCTAACCTACATGGCATATCTCAATGCTCTAGTTAGATTAGGCTGAAATCATCTTGCCAGGATTTTAAAGATTTTTATAGGATCTGTGTCTGGTTTCTGTTTCTATATAACTTCTGCGGACCCCCTTTAAAGACATAAGAGAGTGGACAGAGGCAAATCTTTGAAGCTGTCAGAGATACTTGAGGCTTGGTGTGTTAAGTGAGATTGCTCAAGGCACTGCTGCTCTTTGCCCACAGAAATGGCCTTTAAACACCAGTTCTTATTTGCATAGGAGATTGTATAAGTCATACCTTTCATTGCTGTGACAAAATGCATGGCAGAAACAACTTAAAATGAAGAAGGATTTATTTTAGGCTTACTGTTTCAGGGGTGTCAGTTCAGGGGTGAACAAAACATTATGGTGAAAAGGTCAGGCAGTAGAGCAGATGCTTCATTTAACTCAGGGCAGATAGGAAGCATTGGCAGAGATGGACCCAAGCAAGACATGTATCCATTAATGACCTTCTCCCATTGAAGCCTGGCTTCCTAAAAGTTCATCTACCTCCCAAAATGTACCACCAAGTGGAGATCAAGCATTCAACATATGAGGCTGTATGGAGGTATTTTACATTCAAACCATAGCAGCTTTAAATTTATCTATGGCTCTATGGGCAATGGCCAGAGGTTCTGTGCCTACATGTCTACATTTTGATTAGTCTACAGTATCAGGACCATTGACAGGACTGCATTCTGTTTCCTAAACCAAATCACAGTAGGAAGGAAATCAGCACACAGCCACTGGTCAGAATTAATCAAGGGGCACTGGCCATGCTCCAGGAAAACATGTGTTTGATGGCTGCATGCAGAGCAGAAAATAGAAATCAACCCGGCTAACATTATTCTGGATTCTGACAAGAAGAGAACAGGTAGACTTATCCAGCTTTGAAATGCCATGCAAACTTGGAGATC